GGGGTGTTTCTGGTCCCTGCTCAGGAAAAAGGAGGCAAAGAAATTGTTAAATGTTAGCCTTGTCGTCTGGTGTGACAACCAAATTTCCTAGCTTGTCCTGCAGCGGTCCCATGTTACCCAGAACCTTCTTTTTGCCCCATATATTTAAAAAAGGACTTCTTGTTGTCCTTGATCCAGGAAGCTAGTCCCAGTCCCATCTCCACCTTGGCCTTCTTCACTGCCCCCCTGCATCCCCCCACATCTGACTGTGAAACACCCTGACTGTGAAAAAGTTTTACCTAATGTTGAGCCTGAATCGATCTTCCAGGAGTTTGTGGCCATTACTTGTAGTTTTCCCCTCGGGTGCCATGGTGAACAGTTGCTCACCGAGCCCTTGATGTACACCCCTAGTATAGCAGTCAGCTGCTACCAGGTCCCTCCTCAGCCTTCTTTTCCTCAGGCTGAAGAGTCTCAGATCCCTCAGTCTATCTTTGTATGGCTTACCATGTAAGACTGATCACATAGGTGGCTCTTCTTTGGACTCTCTCAAGCTTGTCCACATCCCTGTTAAAGTGTGGTGCCCAGAACTGGATGCAGCATTCCAGCTGCGGGCTCACCAGTGCTGAGTAGAGCAGAAGAATCATCTTGGCTTTGCTGGAGATGCTTCGATTGATACATGCTAGAGTATTATTTGCCCATCTGGCTACAGCTGCTGGCTCATTTATACTGTGGTCTGTTATTACTCCAAGGTCCCTTTCATTCATGGTGCTAGTCAGTTTGGTGCCACAAGCCTGCAGGTGTGCTGGGGGGTTGCTCGTCCCGATATGGAACACTTTACATTTCTCAACATTGAACTTCATCAGGTTCCAATCCACCCAGCTTGCTGGCCTGTCTAGGTCCATATGTATCTGTAGACAATCTTCAAGCATGACCACTCCCCCATATTTGGTGTTGTCTGTGAACTTGGCCAGTGAGCTCTTCACCCCCACATCCAAATCATTAATGAAGACGTTGAAAAGTACTGGACCAAGCACTGAGCCCTGAGGGGTGCCTCTGTCCACTTCTCACGAGGACAACACAGAGCCATTCACTATGACCGTCTGGGTTTTATCTTGCAGCCAGTTTTTCACCCACCTGTCTTGGAGTTAAGCCCACAATCCTCCAATTTTCTCTTGCGGACATTGTGGGATACTAGATCGAAGGCCTTTTGGAAGTCTAGGTATACAATGTCAACCTGCTCTCTCGTGTCCAGGTGGCAAGTCACCTGGTCATAGAAGGAGATGAGGTTGGTAAGGCAAGACCTGCCTGCGACAAAGCCATGCTGGCTGTCATTCAGAACCTTACCTTCTGCAAGTTTATCACAAATAGACTCCTTGATTAACTTTTCTGGGATGTTCCCTAGGATGGAAGTTTGGCTTGTAGTTACCTCCTTTCTGCCATTCTTGTGGATGGGCACAACACTGGCCTGCTTCCAGTTGTCAGGGACTTCTCCAGAGTGCCAAGAGTTGTGGAAGAGTTTTGCCAGAGGTCCTGCAATGACTTCGGCCAACTCCTTCAGCACTTGGATGAAGATCCTCCGGTCCTGCTGACTTGCATACATCTAATTTTATTAACTGGTCATACACCAATTCTATGGCAATAGTAGGAAGGTGTTTATTCCTACTGTGCTCATCCTGTACTCTGCCTGGCATGGTTTTCCCTTCGTCCGGTGACAGACTGAGACAAAGTAGTCATTCAGGAATTCAGCTCTCTCCTAGGTACTGATAACCAGCTCTCCTGAGTTGTTGAGCAATAGCCCCACACTCCATCATGGGAGGTTTTTAAAATCCAGCTAGACAAGGCTTTGACTGGGATAATCTAATTGGGAATGGCCCTGCTTTGAGCAGGGGGATGAACTAGATAACCTCCTGAGGTCCCTTTCAACCTTAACTTTCTATGATTTTAAGTGCTTCTTTTCGGGAGGAAGCTGCTTTGAAGATGATGAACGGAACATGTCTGAACATGCAAGATCTTCAGGCCAGTAAACTTTCTTATTTCATACTTCCTTCTTAAGGACTCCTCATCTTCTCTGTCCATAGCTTTTGGGTAGACTTCTGCACTACTTAGTCTCATAAAAATGTTTGAGTGAAAAATATAGTTGTTACTTCATGGAACTATTGTATTTTTAATGCAGCTGTGGTATAAAATAATGGCTGAAACTGGTAGATCTTCCTTTTACAGTTTCACTTTTAAAATATCTCTAAGTGCATGAGCCATAGTGCAGCAACTGCATTGACTTCTTTTGTTCAGGGCCCCCAAACTTTGCTTTAATACAAGTATATATTTAAATATGCACATTCTTTTCTTTCCCACTTAGTAATAGCACCTGTATACATCACACTTCCATCAGTAAGGCTTATAATCACCTCTGCATGATAATATTTAAAAAAGGGAAAAACTTTAGCTTAATGTTTATTTTTAGTAAAAGACAATAAAAAGCAGATTCAAAAACTATAAACAGAACCTAAAACACTGATATGAAGCCCACTGAATGGAATTTTGAAGTGGAACTAAATATACTTTGGGGACCAGTTTTGTTGTGCTTAAGTTTATACAGATTTGAGTATCCATTAAAAAATTAAGTGTAGTAGACTATTGACCAAAAATAGATCTTATGCAAATTTTGGCTTATGTTCAAATACTGAAATAGATATCTACAAAGCTTTAGATAGATATAGATATCTACAAACAATTACAAAACATACATTTTTTTTCTATACAAAACAGGCAAAACAACAATTATACAATGAAAATATTCATTAGAAAGATTTCAGTTTCTTCTGGACAGGAAATGTTGCATTCAGCAGCATCCAACAGCACCAAGTTCAGCAAGTCCTTTAGATGCAATCACTTTTGGGTTTGTTGCAACACTTTTTGTTGTGTTGTATGTTTTATAAATTCCAATTAATCTATCTGCAATCTCGAACATATTATTTCGCAGAGAGATGATGATAAATTGTGCATTTTTTGTTTGCTCCTGAAATGGAAAACATTTGTGTTATTTAACATTATTTTAAGGTCCATACTCTTTTGTAGTGATATTATAGGAAATAAGTCTTATATTTACAACTGTACTTTAGAAAAGGACATCCTTTTAATAATTACGACTATTTAGCAATTTTTCAAGTGCTGACTGGCCAAAATTTCTATGGAGCTTGACAAAATTTGGACCTTGCAGGAAAGTAATCCCAATTCTGTAGGTACTTAAATACACAGGTCTTTTGCCCATATGAACAATTCCATTGAAGTTACTCTCATTTCTTCTGATTCCATAAGGCTTATTTATCATTGAGGATAGCTGTATTGGCTAGCAACAAGGCAAGCTGCCAAACTATCAGTTGGAATGGGTCAAACAGTGGTTCTCAACTTTCTTAGACTTGTCTCACCTCTCAGAAAAATGTCAGCTCTTAGTTTTCATGCATTTTTTTACTACAAAAAATGATAAAGCAATTCTATCATTGCACAGATCTCAACCCAACAGTTCAGAATGTTTTTTAATGCTGTGGATTCCTATCTGAAATCTCTGGCTACGTCCATATGGAGTAGGGGCACGCAGTTGCCACAGGGAAAAAAGCAGTGGCACGAATTTGTCTCACTTTTTTGCCCCAGCACACACCCCTGCATGTGGGGTTAGCACGCAGAAAAATGCTCTGGGTCAGGCAGGGGAGGCTGACTCTAGCACTGGGTTGGCCCTAGCAGCCTTACCTGGGGTCTTGGGGCTCCAGCAGCAGTGATCTGAGCATGCAGAACCTAGCTGGCAGCTGGAACACGGCTCTGGCCAGCCAGGCTCTGGTTTTAGGCTGCACATGCTGTTGCCACGTGTGCTTCCCCACTTTTTTCCGGTGCAGTTTTTTTTGACACTAGAATCTCCCTGTGTCAAAACCCAGCATGCTGCAAATCAGCAGTGTGGCAAATGCCTGCGTGTGAAGCACATGCAATTTGCAGCACTGCAGACGGGTCTGTGGTGCCACAAACAGTACGTGTGTGCTCGTCTGGATGTGCCCTCTGGGTTTACCTTGTGAATCATGTTGATACACCTAACAGTGCTAACACTGCATGGCACCCTTGCAAGGGTCTCCCAGGTACCCTGGTTGTGAATCAGAGAATTGTATTTTCCTAGATAGGAGGGAAGTGGGGTGGAACAAGGGGTCTTCTGCTATTACAGAATAAATATGCAGTGCAAAGTGAATGACAATGAATAGAACTTAAGGTTATATATATTTTGCTACACCTGAAGAGTTAAAATATAGTTAGTTAGTGGTAGAATAGCAGGTTCCACCAGGAGTCCAGGAGACATGGGCCATGAACCTGATGTAGCTATCTGTGCAGGGTTGGTCCAGCTGGGGCCTGGTGCAGCTGCGTGGGGCTTTGAAATTTGGTGGCAGGGAGCAATAACAGTGTTAATAGCCATCACTCCCCTACTGCCCAGTTTGCAGACCTGCAGGAAGACCCACAGACCAGATTGCAGGGTGCTATGGGCCAGATATGGTTGAGCCATGCCGTACTGGACAAACCACTACGAGTGACAGCTGACAGTCCATGAAAATGCAGTGAGTGGTGCATGCTGGTTGCACAAAAATGGAGAATTTAATAAAGTTAATCACAGAGGATATGGAGTTTGATTTGGTATGAAGTATTAGTGAAGGTGCTAAATTTTAATAATAATAAAACTAATTCAGCAAAAAGCTCTGTTATCCAGCATCCCCTGGGAATGGGGAATGCTGGTTAATCAAATGTGCACTGTGTGGTGCACTCCCTGGCATCAGTGTGCCAGGGGACAGGGAGCGGGGTCCCACGTAGGCTTTTTTGCCCCAGGCTGCAGGCCAAAGAATTGCAGAACTTGGCTCTTCGTGGCCAAACTGGAAGTGGGACTTCCGGTTTCACTTTTGCCACACCCCTCAGATGCTGGTTAGTGGAGCTTTCCAGCTGATAAAGTGCCGGATAACACAGCTTTTGCTGTAATAATAAATGAAAACAAGTTTCCCTGTCTCATCCAATTTTCTACACAGATTAGGACTAATTTTTCAACTTCAGTGGAAATTAATTTTGTTACACAAAACAAAACAGCATGCTGACATGCATGTTGGATGTAATCACAATTCCATGGTGGGATCCCTTTATTTTTAATCAAGCTGTGTGTGATCTTTTAATTAACTTCAAAAATATAATTATAGTGGAATTATCCATTTCTTATCCATGTGTTCACTATCTTGGTTTTAAAGCTCTTCTAGTATGTTTGTTAAATTTCAGAGAACCACATTTTCTGCTTCTGAATTATAACTAGAATAATTAATTACATTTGTGTTTTTTTGGTTATAAATCTTTAAGTGCAATTGATTATCTTGATTAATAAGAATTTAAGATAAAGCCTCAGAAAAGGTAGTTGCAAGAAATCAGATTAAAAAAAGAAATCAGAGGGTGAATCTAGGTCATCCCTTGTAGTTTAAAAGGGAAGCTCAGATTAATGTAATAAAATGAAAACATGAATATTTCCTCTTCGTCCTTAAAATGGTGGAATGACACAGTGGAACTCTTTTCTTTCTTTCTTGCCCATGGCAGGGGGTCAGACTTGATGATCTGCTCAGGTCCCTTCCGACTCTACCAACTATGAAACTCCAGACTCCATGACAGCATCCTGTTAGTCTAAGAGGCCAGGATTGGTGGAAGACTAACTGCAAGTATGGAATCTTTGGTAAGTGAACGTCTAAAAATTGCACAGGAAACTTAAGATCTTCCTTAAGACCTTTCTTAAGAATCTAGCAAACCCAAACCCTTTAAGTTAGAAGTTGTATTTCTCCAAAGGGCTCAGCATTGAACAGCTCAACAAGAACAGGGGACACTAAAAAGAGAACCCCCTTTTCAGCATCTGTCTTATTTAATTAGTGCTAAATAGAACTCAGAGTTTGCAAATTCTGAAAATTTTCATAAATACTTGAGCCTACACTGAAAATCTGTTAAATTTGGTACCGTAACCATAACTGTAAGAAATCAATTCTGGGAGATAAGTTATTTTGCTAACTGCTATTATCTAGTTCTACTAGAGAAGTACTTACATATATGTAAAATGCTACAATGGACACATTTTTGAAGTCGAGGGCTGCATCTATCTCATCCATGAAATAAAGTGGAGTTGGCTTGTAGTGATGGAGAGCAAAAACCAAAGCCAGGGAACTAAGGGTTTTCTCTCCTCCTGATAAGTTAAATATCTTCTTCCAACTTTTCTTTGGTGGTCGAACACTGAAAAAGATGGGAGAATTTGTAATTTCTGAATTTACTCTAATCAATAGTTATTAAAATGAAAATATTTTATTAATGTGTAAAATCTCCATGCCTCAAGAGATAATATTCAAATTATTGTAAGATAGATCCCCCTGATAGGAATCTCAATCTTTACAATTTTTACATGAATGCACTGTAATAATAATATAAGATGGTTATACAGCTACAGTCATTTGTGCCCTATAGAACAGAATCCATAGCATTACCCTTGTGTTGTTCAACACCAGGGTTGGGCCCACAACACATTTAGACTAGTGCAATCAGCCTTTTACATCAGCATAACCAAGGAATGGACAAAAGATGTGCAGCTATACACCAATGCAACTTACTTGAATGTGGTGCAGAATTATACTGGGAGAAATTGGGAGTAAAACCCATGTGTAAAGGCTGTGTGCTTGGGCCTGTTCCAAGGTAGTCATTTGTTATAGGCATATAGGCTGTTGCCTGCTCCCCACCACAGGAAGGGGATGGCGAACAGCTACCTTGGAATAATTGGTTGTCCATCCGCTTTGTATAAAAGTAATGTAAATTACCCTGGTGTAAATGTATTGTATGTCCAGCAGTCCCCAGCCTCACACAATGTGGTGGACTGACTTACGGAAAGGAAAGATATGTTATGAAGTTAGTCACTTTGTTCCCTTTATCCTGCAAATGGTGGAAACCAGACAGGTTGTTTATGGTCTGAATTTTCATCTCTCGTGATGCTAACCCAATGTATTTTTACAATTTTTTTTCTTGACCAAACATCTCTCTCCAAGCAAGTGTAAGTCTATTCATTTAGTTACAGTAAAATTCAACATTAGTTCAATTTTAATTTTGAAACAGTGCAGTAAAATACTTCTCTTGCTATTCATGCCATTACTAGCTAGAAAGAAAAGATCACCTGTTTCAAAAGAGATTTTCATTAATTTTTAAACATATAAACTATTAAGAAAGAATACCATGATTATAAATGACTTTTGCATGACCAAATGTTTGACCAACCTAAAAACAATTCCTTCTGAGAAAGGATCCAAACTGTCTACAAGCTCTAGTTCAGCATCTCCTCCTAAAGTAAGCATTTGGTAATTCTCCTTTAGTTTATTTGTTATTATATTAAATCCAGCCATAAACTCATTAAGTCTTTGTTTTCTAAGCTCTTCATAAGCTTGTCTAAAGTTGTCTCTCTCATTGGTAATTTCATCCAGCTCTGCCACGCGTTTCAGGTATAGTTCTTCCTACAGAGAAAATAAAACCCACAAACACAGTGGTCTGTAAAATTCAGTAGTTCTCAACCTTCTTACACTTGAGGCCCCCTTCCAAAACTTTTCAAAATGTAACAGCATCTCAGTAAAAAAAGCTAATATACATAAACTTTTTATAGACATGTACACAATTAATGTTAAATGACTAGATGATTATATTCATTCACCCCACTGCTACCAGTACTGCACTTTTCATTTTAGCTCTGATGTACCTCCTGAAAACAGAGGTTCACAGGGAAGTTTCACCCCCCCAGGTAGTTGCAGTATAACTGCCCTGTATGCCCATCTTGGCTTTTTGACAGGAGGATCAAATCCTGGAAGTGGTAAATGATGCAAGCTTGTGTAAATATAGCAGTACATCCCAGCATGTCAGGTAGGGCTAGGGTAGGTAGAAACAGGGAAGAGAGTACTATGGCAGGGGACATGTAATGAGGGAATACCAGGATAGATGCAAGTGTCAGATCACTCTTTGGTTGATCCAAATCAGCAGTGCTTCTATACATGCACTTTTTGCTTTCAAGTAGCAGAATGTGAGTTACAACCTCAACAGATGCTGTTGGCCAAAAATGATGATGTCTACGTTGAGTACTCTTAAGCATGAAATTCATGAGGACAGTTAAGTTGAAAAGTACTACACACTGGGTGCATCTACACATGCAATCAATTTGAAGAAATATACTCTGGCATGATATACTCCGGGGCATGTGCACCTGGGACCCACAGCATGTTAAGCTGAGTCAGAGCAGTGGGTCTGGGGGTCAGCCTGTCAGCCCAGGACTGCTCTGACCCAGCTCAACATGCTGCAGAGGGGCTGGCTGGGCACAAGGGTGCTTCAGTGCGGGGCAAGCTGGCAGGTAGAGCACCCTCGTGCCCTAGCGAGCCCCATCAGTGTCTACATGTGCGTTGCTGTGCACTAAAAAATTCTGCTGCAAGATAATACTTGTATTGACAAGTACTAACCTGAGGCAGAGTTTATTAGGTTACTGTGCCCTAGAAGGGGTGCACATATACACACTGAGACGTTTACTGTGGAGCTAATTAGGCAGCTTCGTAGTAAATGTTTTGTATAGACGTGCCCTTTGACAGATTAAGGAACAGATAATGAAGTCAAGCTGCTACAAGGTGAATGAAAACAATGTAAAAAGCCTTACCTTCGCATTATATTCTGCAATGGCGCCAAGATTTGGTTTCATTTCATGACACTGGGCCTCTAAAAGGGCTATTTGATTAATTATAATATCTGGATCTTTAATTGCTTCAAGCTCCTCTTGATTTAGAACTGGAAGTTCTTCAACTGGTTCTGCTTGTACATGGTGCAGTGATATTTTTGATATCTAAAAATCAATTTGTACAGTTACCCAACATGCTTATACTTGCCACCACTAGTTTTCAAATGAACCCTGAAAAGTAGCTTTACCAAGTTTTACATTAATTAAAAAATATAATCAAGTCCTTCACTCAGTATGCATTCATAGCCACCCAATTTTAAATAAAAATCTGCCCCACCTCAATCTTAAGGCCTGGTCCCAGTTCAGTTTACCTTCTTATGGAAAACATCTGAAAAAGCAGGCAGGCTTGTGCTTTGTCCATCACCCTTCCAACATGTGATGAAAGCTAAGACTGCATATCTTGCTCTTAAATTCTTCTCAAAACATTCATACAGAATTCTCAGAGACAGTGTCTTTGGGCCTCATGGGTAGCCATAATGAGTAAATGTGCACTCCCTTGGTGTTGATCAGATCATTCAGCATTTGAGCAACTATCTTTAGGGCTGCGTGCTTTCAGTTACCGAGGGCATAAGAACTTATTGTGCCTCAACTCATAAGGAGTGTTTGCATATCAACTAGGGGCGTGCAAAACGGGCTGTATTCGATTCAGATTCGGCCTGAATTGGGAAGTGATTCAAATCGTTGATTTGGATCACTGTCCCTGATTTTGATCTGGCTGAATCCAGATCTGAAGATTTGATGCCGATTTGGAGAATCAACAATCCAGCCATGGACACAGCTTTAAATGTTTTTTCTACATACCGCGAGGTACCAGGTATGGTTTGTGTGGGCCCCCCCCCGGCACTCCTGTGGGACGCTCCATCTGCCCCAGCATCTCAGCATTCACAAGCCACCTTCAGGTAGGTAGAAAAACCATTTAAAGCTGTGTTTGTGTCTGAATCGTCGAATCTTTCCAAATCGATTCGGGGAGATTAAAGGGTCTCCTGACTTGATTTGGAGATTCAGCCACTGAATCTGGCTAAATCTCTACCAAATGAAATCAGGGACCGAAGCTTCGCACAGCCCTAATGTCCACTCTTATCTGGACAAAGTGAAAGATGTATCAGAGAACTTATTTCATTGAGGGGTAAGCTGCTCCACCTAAACTCTCATTACGGGCTAAGAGTAGGGGCAGAAACTGTTACTGCATGGATGCTGATGCATAAACGCCTGCCTGCTGCTAACTGCAGGCTTACACACCCTGGAAATTGCTGAACCGGAAGGACAGGAAAACATGTAAATGTGAGTAGACTGACTTTCCACTCGCTCTCATCCATAGCCCTGTGACTGGTGTTGAGTGAGATGATGCAAGCCACAGCTTCATAACACAACAATCTGCAAGCACACAAACTATAATGGATTGGAGTTCCTATCCTATATTTTACTCATTAACAAATTATTTTAAACCAAACATTTCTTACCTCCTTTTGCCAATATTTTATCTTTGATTGATGCTCAGCAACATGACTGTCTATTTGTTCAATTTTAAGCCTTATACTAAGGGCCTCTTTCTGAAGAACATGTTCATCCTCTTGAATTGACTTCATTGTTTGAAGTAGATTACGATGCTGCTCCTGAACCTCTGGTAATGACTCCTAAGCAGAGACACCAAAATATTTAAAAAGTTGAAATTCAAACTTGTTTGGGAAAAGCTTGCACTTATAGTACTGCAATTAAAAATATATATTGTTTCTAGAGTTACAAATGAATGCCAGTTAAAATGAATATACAACAAAGAATCATTTTTGCTTAGTGTTTGTATTTAACTTCCTGAATCTAAATGATAGCACTCCATACATTTTACAACTATGTTAGAAATCTTTGTTTCTATTAGCAGAGCTGAGTTATATACATGCTGCACAGGTATGCTTTGGAATAAAGGCAGGTGCAAGGAAGGCTTCCAAGAACCTTCACACCTCAGGCTGCCTGGTACTTCTTCCATGATCCTTGACTATTGTCCAGCTAAGGTAGGGTTGCAGTAGGACACTCACTAAGGTCTAACACTACATGACTTCCCTCTTCTTTCTGGAAGAGTCAAGATGACAAGACAGAAGCAGCATTACTCTGGGGTATGGAAAAAAGAACAAATCTTAAATCTTTTTTAAAAGGGCCAAATCTGAAGCTTAACAATTCTCAGAGTTATCCTTTTTATGGAACACTTCTTAGAAGCCTTGCAAACCCTCTGGTTTTGCTAGACTTTTGGATGTCAAATGTTAACAAAATACCATTAAAGCTTAGGAAAGGCTGCTTGTCACAAAATGCTTTTAAGGGTATAGCTTCTTATAATTTTATAAGCAGAGCTCATGAATAACTCTTACAAACTATGTTCTCTCCAAAGAGGTACACAGATATTACACATACTTCAGCTTGTTTGCAGTCGTTCATAACTTCAGTAGCTTTTTCTTCCAGTGTCGTCAGCATTTTTGTTAGGTCATCTATTTCCTTTTCATTATCTCCAATTTCTGTCTCAGTGCGAAGAACAGACTCCTCAGATTTTTTCAGATTTCTGAATAAGTAGGTATTCAAGATATTTGTATATTCATGTAAGTACAACATGGATCTAGAAAAGCATAACTGGTCTTTTTTGCAAAGAAAATAAGCTATAATCTGATAATCAGCAAATAAGTAATACAATCCCTTACTTAGAGATCTACTTAAAGCACATGGAGGCAAAGTAAAAATCATCAGCTGCTTGCAGCACTCCCCACTCCCCCGTTAGCCCAGGCATCCCCGCCCTTTGTTGCTGATTGGCTGAGGGCTGCCCCTCATGTGGCTCAACCCCTTCACTGATTGGCTCAGAGGGGCGGGACCACCCAAAAAGCAGCCCTGCTTTTGATCAATCAGTGGTGGAAGGAGGTGGCTGCCATCTTGGCTGCTTCCATTCATGCCAGCAGCTACCGCCCTGGGAGGCTGGGCATCTGCAGCAGCTGGCTCCCACTGGGAAGACAGCTTTTGTTTTTGGCAAGTTTCTTCCCCCCAGCAATTCCATAGAATATTGTGAGGAATGCCAGTTTTCATGGTGACTGTGGAAACAAATTTAAAAATTAAACCCATCTGCAATGCAACTATGTTTTTGCATTCTACTTAAATTAAGATTCTGATGCATAAATTTATGATTAAGTTGAAAACCAGAAATTTGATTCTAAATGATACTAAAATGGTTGATATGTAGTCACTGGTAGTTTGCTTTAATGCCTACATTTTCTCAAGTGTCGTATAAGCCTATTTATCAGTTAAGGCAATAATTTTTAATCTCATCTACCATAATACATTTCATATTGTAAAACAGAAGCTGTATGAGCCCACCCCAGGTCATATCTAGTCATAAATAAAGGTGATGAAAAATGGTAGTTTGATAAATTATTAGTAAAGATATATGTCAATACAATGATCATGATCAAAACACTAATTACAATCCTAGGTTCTTAAATTGGAGCACATAAATGTTTACTATACCTGTCTGCAGTCTTGATTGCCACCTGGGCTTTAGTAACAGCAGAAGTATACTTATCTATTTCCTTGTTTATCTTATCAAGTTTGTCTTGCTGAGCTTTAAGTTTATTATTATTGATTTCAATTATGAGATTATGTAATCTTTTAACTTCACTTTCTACTTTACCAGCCTTTCCAGCAACACATTCATAATCTGTCAAAAAAAAGTTTGAGTGAAAGAGAAGATCAGACAAAATAGCTAGTTCTTAATTACAGTCTCCAAGCAAAATTTAATCATAGGACTTCTGAATGCTAAGAACATAAGTAGGTACCATACTGTCTGACCAATGATCAATCTAGCCCAGTATCCCATCTCCACACAGGAGTGTATGATTTAAAGGAAGAACACTGAAACGAGTATATCTAGAATGATTTATTCCCTGTTCATTTCCTCTCTGGCATGATGATGATCTTTTGGGTTAAGTGATTTTTCAGGAACTTAAAACAGCATGGAATAGGTACCTAATTAAAAAAGCCCAGGTGTCAAACTCTATTTTTAGGTCAACAAGCTTTTAAAAATTTTAACCTACTTCTACAAACTTTTAACTATTACTTTTATAATTAGTAGTTAACTTTTGAAAGTGATAATTAGAACTCTCTTTTTCTAAAGGAAAAAAAATAGTTACTTTTGTAAGAAACCAGAGACAAATTTTACATCTACATTAGATCAAACAAATTAACTTGGGCTGCTGACAGAAGTTCAGTTAAAGGCCTGATAAGGTAAGATGCATGATCCCAACAACAGCACCTCCTGCCATGCCGTATGTGCACAGTAGGAAGTGCAACTGTCAGACTTGGGCTCAAGTCCTAAACATGCCTTACTACCAGTACAGGGAGTCAGTGAGTTGATGGGCACTTCCAGCCCTGGGAATACACTGAAACCCTTCAAGACTGATTAGCTGACTTGCACTCCCAGCCCTGGTAACAAACTGAACATGGGAGCAGTGGTGTAAGGCACAATGGGAACCAGCCATAAAGTTACCATGCATTTTGTGCAATAATGTTATGGTTATTGCACCAGTAATTGCATGAGCGTGTGGCCGGATTGCTACTTAAGATGTGATTAACTACTTAATCACATTTTCAGTATAATGTCTGCCAGGGGCTTTAGAGATGGTCAATCTCTAAACAATCCCTTTAGAAATCCCTAAAGCAGGAACAGACTTCTTGAAGCAGCAAACTGCCTAGAACTCTTTTAATGAAGTTTTCTCCCTCTGCCCACAGGGGTTCATAATAATGAGGTAGCACTGTGTTTCAACCTATAAATTTTGGTTTAACATTGACATTTTATTATTTTTTATATGTTCTTAGAGTAAACAGGGCTATACTAGAACACATGGGATTGATACAGTACCAACAGTAAAGAATGTAATAAATATTTTTTCCAATTTAGTTTTAAATAGATATTCTGACTCCTGACATTGCTTACTTTGTAGAAAGCTCTTGTTTGAATTGCTGCAGTGTGTAGTGTCAACTGCAAAGTGTCATGCAATAAGCAAACTAGAGTAGTGCTAAACCAAAATCAAAACAGATACACTTTTGTTGGAGTATCTCTCCCATTAATAAACCCCAGAATTGTTAATAAATATAAATGAAAACAAAAAATGTTGGTTAAGCAAAATTACATTTCCTTAAGACCCCCTTTGCAGTAAAGTCATTAAGATGATTCATCCAATACAGATTTACTAATATTCAAAAAGCAAGTTTTAGCCTAAATGAAACATGAACCTGGACTACTGACAATAATGAGAAAAGGACCACCTAAAAACGTATCCCCTTGGAATATAAGAAGGCACTTCATTAGAAAAAAAAATATATACCCAAACTGATCAAGCTGTAATACTCACCCCAATTCGTGATTGATAATGAATGTCACCATAAGTTGCATCTCTAACCAAATAACCCGAATCCAAAAGAGCAAAAACGCCCCCCAACCCCAAAACCACTATGACATACCTTTTTTGAAGGCATTAAGATTTTTTTCCAGGTCTTTCTGTTTGTTTTTGTCAGGAGCAGCAGCAATTACATTAGCCTCAAGTTCTTTAAGTTGGTCTTTTAAGAGAACTTCTTGTTCTGATAAACTCTACAGAACAGAAGATTCTGTTAGGATACTAAACTTTTCATATTTTGAAGGGTAAGGGGCTATTACACTTAAGAGTATGTTGGGGAAGCAAATTTCTACCATTCCCATGGAGAGGCCATGCAGCTTAGTAATAAAGTAAAGTAATACATTTGCTTACCTGTATGCTGGCTGTATACTTTTCTAAAGTGCTTCTCATTTCTTGAACACTTTGATGCAATTTTCTTATAGCATCTTCAAGCTCTACTTTCTCTTCCTGGTAGCACACTGCTTTTTTTGAATCATTTTGCAGCTGCAATTCCATTTTATTCACCTACACAAATATTAGATTTAAATATCAGTTCATCTGGCACCATACTTTTAAATCACACTTTACAATAGAACAAGACTTGTTTCATACTCCAGAACAGCTAATGATTTCTGAAACAAAAAAAAAAAAAAAACTGAAGAGACACTTACAATATCAATTCAAGGAAGAAAGAACAAGATAAGCTGCATTTACTTTAAAGTAAAGAGGTTTAAGCGGATTTAATTAAATCTGGGGCATAGATGATCTTTATTTGCACATGATCTTAGTCCCACCTTATTCTGGTTTATCCTAAATTTGATCAGGAACAGATTTAAGCTAAGTCAAAGAAAGCAATCAATCATGCAGAGGTATAACTGGAAAAAAAATAATGCAAATAAAACAATGCATTTCAAGTAGAAGTTTTTTAGCCCAAGGACTTTTTTTCTAATTAAAGAAATAGGAAATGTAGAGACAAAGGCAAAAATTTGAAGACAGCGCCAAAAGTTTAGTTTGAGGAAGAGACAGCATAATAAAAAGGAATCAATAAAGGACAATGATGATAAAGGATTCTGAAAAAGTAGGTATAGCGTTTTGGTTGTAAGATGCACATAGATAACATTTCTACCACGACGTTTACGGTAAAAACATAGTTGAAGATTTTGTGAATACGTGTTTCAATCCCAACCTCTATCCTTGCTTTCTGCTATTTAGGATTCTAAACTATTAAGAGATCTGAGGAACAGTTGAAACTGCTCTGCCCTTACAACCTTTGCTGTGAAGGCTGAGGCACAAGGACAAAATGGCATATGCCAAAACAGGAAGCCACACAGACTCAAAAGAATTGAAGTTAGTATATGTTTCTCTCTTTTTTTCTTGAACATCAACATAGGTCTTCATGTGACTGATAAACAGTGTCTTGTCTGAAAGAGAATCCTGGCTGCCCCTAAATAATTATTTACCATTTTGGTATTTAATACGGTAGGAGATCAAGGACACAAGATTTAGTACAAGGGAGTTAACTCCACTTAGCTACCTAACAAAGTTCAAATATAAGAATGCTCTTGAAACCTATAGAAGGTCCAGACTATACTCTAGTTGTGGACTCAGCTTTAATATTTGGAGCTATAATAAGATTGGTATACACTGGAAAATGTATTTTGATATTCCCTGGGAGGAAAACCTTGAAACCAAGATGCTCCAGGGACAGCAATAAAAGGGTAATAACCTGAAAGGATGCGTCTAGCAACATAACAGAACTCTTGAAATCCCTGAAGCGGTATGGAATTTTTTTCCTAGGAGGAATATGGTTTTCAAATAAAACATAAATTTGGATCTTTCAAACAAGTCTGACAACTTTGGGAATTAACTTGGGATGAGGTCTTAACACCATCTCATTTGTCAACTGTTGTGTAAGGAGTGAGTTTGTAGTGGTTGTTATGGTGATGCAAGGCTGTCAAGAACAAAACGGTAAAGTACATTCAAGGAAGCAGGGCCCTGTAAAGTATGAAAGTACAATATGAGATGCTACATTACAGGGTGGGTATTTTTGCTAACGTGTTAGTATAAGCACATCTTAAAAACCTCATCATCATGGGGTGATGAACTGAATGCAACTGCAGTGACATACCAAGAATGATGTAAATTGGACTTCAATGCAATTGAATGAAAATAGATTGTAGTTAAAGATTTTTAAGGGGCCTCCAGTAGGTCAAAGCATTTTGAGTGGCCCAAATAAAAGTCTTTTGTTTAGAAGAGTAAATTTTCTTTAGGAAAAACTTTCTACTTTGTACTAGGAACCCTTGTACTTATAAGGAGTCTTTCAGGGTAGCACTCCACCAGCCATCATTTACACTGTCACATTTTATGACTGGAAGAAGTTTGGCTGAAGTACCTGACCTCCTGGTTCTAATATCAAGTATGGTACTGTCTGGGAAACACATGAGAGCCTTAATAACCAGTAAGATTTGTTGGAAAGAACTGGCTCAATTAATATGGGGCTATAAAAATTAGAATATTTGTATTTTGCTTTGATTCTGCATATTACTTTTGGAATTAAGGGACCATCACAAGTGCATATATATGAGAACTTGATTCTATCATATGGAAAAGGAATCTTGCAGTTTTTCCCAGGCTGGTGCCTCTCTTAGAACAAAAGTTTTATTTTATAATGGTTACATGTTGATAATGAGATTTCTCAATGGTGAAATATTAGTTTGATGGATGCCTTCAGATATCATTCCTGGTTGGCAATGGACTGTCTATTCAGGAAGTATGTTAGACTACTAATGATTTGTGAAAGTAAGGATCTAGGCTAAGAAACTTGACAGGATAAAGTTAAGGAGCCATAAGGAAAGAGGTTTTCTAAACAGACATATCAGATAATTCAAGAACCTTGCAAAAATAGGATGATGCTTGAAGAACCTGAGGGTAATGGACATACTTCGTTTCTTTAAAAGGGGAGGTGGGGTGTGCTAAAAGTAACTATTATGTCTACATGATCCTGAAGCAATAGAAGTGAACTAAATCACGCTAACTTTGATCCTGGATGAAGCAATTTTGCTAAACTTCTATTTGTGTTCTTAGTTTGAGATAGAAAATTGTTATGTCTGTCTACACCCTGAGACTCCTGTGAGTGATTGAGATCTACATTAATCGTACCTAGGCTTTGCTGGAGTAACTTTTATGTTCTGAGATTTATCTCCATGTAAGTTTCCAAAGTTCAGGGGTGAGAGGCATGGGTTGTATGTATACATGTGCACCCAGATGAAGATAACGGGCCAACCTAAAGAAAAAGGGCTAGATCTGCAGGCTACAGTGCAGAGAACTCTCAGTTCTGGACTCTCCATTTCTAAACGAGTTAGCTTGTGGAGTCGAGCAAAGCACAGTCCCAGTAGCTATATTTGAGTATGGATGAAGGGAATGAAACAGGAGGTTGGGCAGACAGACTGGAGAACCTGGGTTATGATAGCAAATGTTCACAAGCGTCTCCAAGGCCTATCCATGATTCTATTCCTTTTCTCCCCCTGCTTAAACTAAAATCTAGCTTGCACTGGCAACAACTGAAGCTTGGAGGAGGAATTCCTTTTATCTGTTCAAGTGTTTTAATTCTAGGAATTGACACATTTATTTTAGACTACCCCTGTCTGGTCAGGAAGACTAGCATCTCTTTCTGACCGAAGGTAAGTGCTGAAAAATAGCAAGAATGATCTAAAATTGAAATGAAAGGGATTTTCATTTTAAAGAAAATGCCGGTTATTTTACGTCAAGAAAAACAGTGTACACATGTTTTAAAGAGTAGAGCCAAATTTTTCCATCCACCAAAAAATCTTGTAGGGACTTCACAAATTTTTTTTTAAAAGTTCCCATCTTGGCTGCTCAGCTGACAGCTCTGCTAAGCAACAGTTCAATATTTTCAGTCCTTTCCTTGTTTTAGTTCTTTCCTTTAGTCAGCTCTTTACATATCCAGTATGGGGACAACATTCTGGGTCTAAGAAATATCAACCTATTCTAAGGCAGAGGATATTACACATACAAATGTACATTAAAATCATAACAACCCATATTAGTTGTGTAAGAATAGAATAAAAGATAACAAAATGCTTTATAAATGTTAGTGTACACTACAAAGCAATCAGTGCAATTTGAAATATTTCAGTATCAGCTGTATCTATTGAACTCAGTGTTTTCCAGAGGTTGTATGTTACCAGAGATGTTACTTACCAATGTTGATTTGCTTCTGCATAGTATTTACATATGAACCATAAAAAAAAAAAAAAAAATCAGAAAAAAATATAGTAAATAAGTTTCACAAGAAATACTATTTCTACTTATATTAGAACTAACCTCCTCTTCTGAAATTTCAACCATGACTGAGGATCCCATTCTCCCCTTCAGTACTTTACCTCCACCACCAGTCATTGTTCCTAAAGTGAAATGGGTAAAGATATTAGAATGATAAATTGATTTGATACCCCCTTAAAAAAAAAAAAAAAAAAAAAAAAAAAAAATCAAGAACAAATACTTTTATATTTTTAAATACCTGACTGTTCTATGATTTGTCCTTGCAAAGTTACTACTCTCCATCTTTTATTTTTTTGAAATGCTACTCTGGTGGCCTGTTCCAAGTTGTTGGCTACTAAAGTGTTACGTAATGCAAAATAAAAGGCTGGGAGAATCTTCTCATCTTTTACTTCCACTAAGTCAAATAGACGAGGAATATTTTCAGGAGTCTGGATTTTACTCATATGTTGTGTCCATTCTGACATCTATATGGAAAATAAAAATGTACAGTAAGTTAAAACACCAATTATTCAGTTTAAAATAAATAAGATGCCTTTGAATGTATTTTTCCAGTAGTTTTCTGGCATTATACAGCTGCTGCAATGATTCTCCCATTGCAAATAGGCAATAACTGATATTAAAGGAGTGCTCTTATTTTCAGAATAAAAATGTCCAAGAAATAACTACGTAAGTACTAATATTTGTGTTAAACTATGAACAAATTCAGCTTCAAGTTATTTGTATAAGTACACAAAAACATTTATTGTACATCACAGTGAAGATTTTTTTCCAGATAGAAATCACTAGGGAGGGTAAATTTTGTGAAACAGAGATTCTCTATGCTGTTGAAAGTCCTAAAGCTCTGATATCGAATAGAAAAAAAAAATCTAGCTTTACTCAACCTATGGGTTATGATGGTGATAAAGTACATTCTGTAACACAAGAAGAGTCAATAGTATGAGTTATCTCTAGAATACTAATACTTACTTTGTTCAAGGCTATAAATGTAGCAACTCCAATCCCTTGCCTTTTCAAGAAATTCACACATTCCTGAGCTGTATCTATTGTATCAACAACAATGTAGTCTAAGGCACCACAAGATGATGAAATAGCAATATCATACTTCTCATCAATAGCTCCCAAGTCTCCCTAGTAATTGACAAAGGACAAAAACATTTTGATCAGCATGGTAGTTGACAGTAACATATTACCACCTTTTTGTTTTAGTAAAAAAAGACAAAAGAAATTTATTAATCCAACCCAAGGTTCATAAATGTATAGATGAGTGGCAACTGAATGATTCTTGCGTTAAAAGCAATAAATATTATCAAATTAAAATAGCTACACAAATTCAGATACTTAGACTAACATTTTAGTGAGTCAAAATGGCCTGCTGGACAAAGATCTATGTTCTGTTCTTGGCTCTGTCACTGCCCTCCCTGGTAAACTTGGGCAAACCACTTTACCATGCTACATTTCAATTTCTCTATCTATAAAATGAAGCTTTATGATACAGGCCCTTCTTTGTAAAGCACAATAAAATTTACAAATAAAAAGATCTATAAGATTTTTATACTATTGAATCAGCTCTATCATTCATTCTCTGTGGCCTTGAAAATTATTTAACTCACAGTTACTTAACCTCTGCCCCACTTTTCCCATTTCTGAAATGCACATAAATGTTTTTTTATTTGGGGGAGAGGAGTTGTGAGAATTCTCTCTCTATAGTAGTTCAAATATAGCATTATACATGTGCTAATAGTAAATGTGTTACCCAACTTTTTACCCTGCATTTGACTACTGTGAAATGGTATATTCAACTCCAGTTACCAGGTGTTTCCAATTTTAGCCCATTTTTTGCAGTACCCTCTATTTTGGTTTGAAGGGTTGCACTAGTGGTCCTGCCCACTAATTTCAGTCCTGCCTTTTAGAGGATACCCTTTTGGAACTGTCCAACTTCTCTGAGAAAAGTGTTCAGTCAAATTTTGTTTTATAATCACCAACATAATAGTATACAGTTACAATGTACTATTTGAGCACTGTTTCCCTTCCCCCAATTCTGTAATACCAGTCTAAGTGGCTAGTTTTCATAATTTTGAACCTTTATCACTCAGAAAACTCTGTTCTTAGTGAAGCTCTGTGTTCTATAACACAAGTAGGGCCTGGTTTAAATCACAATTTTGCATTTTTTGTGGAAACCCCCCACAAAATTAGGCATTTTCATGAAAAATGTTGATTTGCAACTAAATGCCACAATATGGACTTTTGCTGAGAGTTCCTCAGCAAGCAGCCATATTGTGGCATTTTGCTGCAACAAGATGGCTGCCATAGGCAGCAGCAAAAGCCTAGCAGCCCAGAGTGGGGAAAACTGGGATGAGGTGGGGTGGGGCAAGAACACATGCACACAGGAGCAAACAGCCCTGCCCCTACCCAGTGCCAGGGCCATATGGCATGGCAGCTTCCAGGCACCCCCAACCCCTAGTTTTCCTGCCTGGAGGAGCAAACAGTGCATCCCCTACCAATCCCCAAGCTCTCTCCTCCCCCTGTCCCTTCTGCAAATCTCTTCCCTGTGAGCTTTTCAGCAGTGATCAGAGGCCTAAGGAACAAGACCTCTGCTGCTGCAATTAAACCTGGCCCTAAGCCTGTCCCTCAGGCACTTAGGGGATGTGGAGGGCGCACCATGATCTGGGCGCAAAACAAGGCTCCTCCCTACTACCATCAGGCCACGATATCAGTGAGCTGCACCAGCAATTTAAGTCAGGCCTCTAGACATAAGTATCCTTTGCCTACTGAACCAGCTATAGCATCTCCCTTTGTTTTGATAGGTAGATAAGAGAGAAATGCTTAATAGAAAATAGTAGAGGTGCACTGATACATCAGTCATATATTGGATCAGCACTGATAACAGGAAAATTAACATTATTGGCAATCAGCTTTTTTTGGCTGATAATGTCACCAATAAATGCCGTATGCACATGGCCAGGAATGCAGCCTGGGAGCTTAAGAGAACAGTGTCTTGCCAGTAGTAAGTTTATGGGGGAGGAAGGGGCATGGGGGGTCCCAGATTGAGGCCCCAACAGAGAGGAAGGGAGTGGGGCTGAGGCAGGGGCTGCTCAGCCAGGGTGATGAATGTGACGCCGGGGCTGGGAGCAGAGACATAGCTGAGCACGCCCGGGGTGGGGGGGCGTGGACACGGGACAGACAACAGGCAGCAGCTCCCTGCTGCTGCACATACCTCTGAGGGAGGCATGGGGGGCACATACCCACCCAGATTTATGGTAGGGCGAGGACAGGCTGCCCACTGTGGGCTTTGTGCCAGAGGTTATGCCAGCCTCTTCCTCTTTGGGGCGGGGAAGGGTTGGGAGTAGGAAAGGCCAGATGTGCAGGGCAGGCGGTGGCAGTGCTGGGAGGTGTGGCTACAGGGAATTTTGGGATGGCTATAGCCCTCCAAACTTCCCCAGTGCTGCCCCTGCTCGACCACCAGGGTTCCCAAGGGAAAGGTAGCAGAGTGGAGTGCTCTGACCAAGGTCAGTGCTAGGGACAGGCTATAGCCACCCCAAAATTCCCTGTAGCCCCAATGTAGCCACCCCTTCCAGCACTGTTACCATCCTCCTGGCACAGCTGAGCCCACCCCATCCCTGCCCGCTCCAAGCACAGCCCGTCCAGCTCCCCTGCTGGGAAAAGGCTGACACAGCCCCTGGCTCTAGGCCCACAGCAGGCAGCCTGCCTCTATCCTGCACACAAATCTGGGGGAGCATGCCCCTATGCCTCCCCCAGGGGACTGCACAGCAGTGGGGAGCCCCCCCACCCTGTACCAACTGCCTGCAGCTCTGTCCCACTCCCAGCCCCGGGGTCACATTCATTGCCCTGGCTGGGAAGCACCTGCTCCTGGCCCCACTCCCTCACTTACCATGGGGCTTTGATCTGCCCCCCCCAGTGCTCCTTCCCCTCCAGAAACTTACTATCAGGAGGCTGGTCTCCAAGCTGCCAGGCTGCATTCCTGTAAATTGGCTATTGGATTGGCATCAGCCAATATGGCTGACTAACAATTGGCTATCGATATTGGGCAAGAAAATCTTTATCAGTGCACACCTAGAAAACAGGCACAAAAACAGTTACTGTGTAGTAGTCTTCTAGATCACACTACATTTAAAGAGAGATGTGATGCTCAACACTGCATTTTAACAGTTTCCAGGTGTTTCTACCTAAGATATAGCTATTACATGAGATTATCTGGGTCAAATCTGTTATTTTTTCCTTGTGATGCAAGAAAAGACCAGCAGCACACTCACCTAGGCATTCCTCCAACATGGAAGAGTCATGATGGCCAGAGGTAACCAAGACACTGACTGTACAGTCTTTACTGCACAGTTGCGATACTGACTGCACAGTAGCCCAAGACTACTACTCAATAGTGTCTGATCATGTTTTCTGCCATGTGATGGTATTGTGCAGTAGTCATGGGCAACTGTGGTCAGCCTCTCGTGTAGATGTGGCCACTGACTACGCTCACTGAATCTCAACAAGCCCCAATCTAAATCCTGTTAAGGCAGCAAGGGGATGTGACAAGGCTACAGTGATTCTAGCAATTCTAGGCTTACATATGTTCCCCAAGACAGCTTCTCTCAACCTGTGGGTCCAGACCCAAAAGTGGGTTGCAACAATGTATGAAAAGACCGTGAACAAACTTTAAAACTGGATTTTCCTTTAAAAGGAGGAAAATGTGGGAAACCACAGCTTTTCCCTTGTAGGCTGGCAGAGTTCCAGCCTGTAAGGGGCTGGTTGAGACCCCCTGTGCCCTGCACACTGGGGGGCGGGAGCCTGGGTGCTGTGAGTAGCAGGTCAGCAGTGAGGGGTATTGGGTGGGGAATGGCCATTGATGTTTACAAGTGGGTCCTGGTACAAAAAAGGTTGAGAACCACCGACGACTGGCTTTGGGCAACGCAGCCCATAAATTGTTTTAATTTATGCTGGGCAAGTGCATATTGGTCCAGAAGCATCGAGTAGTTGTAAACTGCTTCCTGACAGTTCCTCAGCCACCTGTCTTGAGTGGATTTTGGCACCAGAACAAATTGTGGCAATTCTAGATCAGTGTTTCTCAACCTGTGGGCTGCGACCCAAAAGTGGGTCACAAGAAAGTATGAAAGGGTCGCAAACAAATTTTAAAAATGGATTCTCCTTTAAAAGGAGAAAAACATGGAAAACCCATGGCTTTTGCCTTGCAGCCTGTCAGAGTTCCAGCCTGCAAGGGGATGCTTGGGGGTTCCCATGCTCCATACACTGGGACTGGGGGGCACTGGGTCAAGATTGGCCAATGTTTACAAACGGGTCCTGGTACAAAAAAGGTTCAGACCCACTTGACTAGATGACCTCCTGAGGTCCCTTCCAATCTTAATTTTCTATGATTTGAAATTCTTAAAATTTACCAATCTCCCATATATTCCAGGAATTTTTCCAGATTTCTTCTGCTGAAGTAGAGCATCAAGAACTCTTCCTCTACTGCGACTGACTGCCAAAGAACTTTTTGCTTCTTCTACTTTTTGACGTTGAACCCGAACAAGATTTTTAATGTCCAACTCCTGTCTTCCAAGTTGTTCAAGCTTACATTCTTTCTAACAATGTAAACAAAGTCAACAAAAATATTTATTTCATAGTGTGAGAAGCAACATATTATTTGAAGTCTAGATATTCTTAAGACAATGACTTATCAAAATGAAGTGAAAAACATGCAAACGAACTTCTTTTGTGAGCTTTACACTTTGATAGATCATAATACAGGAACCTAAGCATTTAGAATTTTTTTTAAGTTGTCTAAGGGAGATGGACAACCAGGTCCTTAGAGAATCACAGCCTTATTCAGAATAAAAAGAAAAATGTAATATATGGAATTAAAAGTTACAAATATTTTTACATTATAACTTTCTAATTTTTAACTGTACAGTCCTTAAATTAATTCCCTTGTATAGATATTCCTATTACTTAATCTTAGCATTTTTTCAATTTCACCTACTTGCATAGTATTATACATCAATACACGGCTGTCCAATGTTGGGGCACCTGCGGGCCACATTTATGGCTAGAGCTGAAAAGTCTGATGATGGTGTCAGCAGAGGCAGAGAAAGTAAGAGATTTTGGTTTCATCTGAGTTCCCAAGTCACTCATAGCTATGAAATGTGTCAGCACTAGTGGAAACTTAAGATGTGTCTAAACCAAGAGTGGCTGGAGCAAGCTTATCATGCTGTGAAGGCAAAGCTGAGGAATGCTTAAGGTACTTGTTTCTGGGTTTTGTTAGGACAGCTGCCATGGAACTGAAAGCTGGTTCTGGAGTTTCTCTTGGGAACTGCCAAGCTCCAACAAGATCCACTTGAGCCTAAGAAGTCTTGGGACGTGAAAAGGTTAAGGACATGGTGACATTTTCATAAGGAGATTTTCCATGGAATAGAGATCTCTCTCTGCACTCTGTGGAGGCATTTTCCAGTACAGAAAATGCTGGTGGTATCCTTGAAGATGATTTAAGCACTCTCATACATCAAGAGATCAGTGGAGTCTGAGAGTGGGATCAGAGATCGATGCCACAGTCTTGCTTCAGGTATGAATTTGGAACCTGGCCTCTTGCTCCTTTCTGACCCAGGAAGTAAGAGATTTACACAGGGAGCATTTCCTAGTAATTAAACTTGCAGGCAATATAGGAACTTGACATGCCCATCTGTCATGGGTCTGAGGTTGTCACAAATTGGTCACAGCTTTAAATACCAGAGATTTGAGGAAAGTCATGATGATGGACAACAAAGAAAACCAAAAGGAAAAGATGTTAGGCAAACTCGGGTCTTGTCAGTCAGGATGCTGACTGATGCATCTTCTATGATGAGGCCCAGTCACACTAAGTAAAGTGAGAGAATACCCAAGAACTGTATGATGATAATGATCATCATCACCATCATAATGAAACTATATTCAAATATCAAGGGTAAAACATAAAATTTGAAACCCTTTGCCTTTAGCTTCAAGAATTTCAGGTCAGAGTAGATCATGGTTGACAATTAGCACAATGCTAGCCAAGCAATTGAGAGGAATGCTCAAGTGAAGGCAGAGGTGTGAAGCTACCGAATTGAACAGGTGATTAAATGGGTATGTGGAATAGAGATCTACCAATTATGGATGGACCTACTCTTGTTTTTCAGAGTAGAACTACACTTCATGTGCAGTATGACTACATTAAAGGAACAAAAAAAAGCTCCTGAATGAATGGTTTTTAAAACATGAAATATTAAAAAAAAAACTTATGGTCTAACCTCCTTTAGCTCCCGTTCAGCTTGAGGTAATTTTGTGTCAAGCTCTTTGATAGTAGATATCCTTTCTTTTAGAGTTCCGGAAGTAGTCATTAGTACCTCTTTTGCTTTATTTAACTGAGAGACAGCAGTATTATGGCGGCTGAGGTAGATATCCAGTTCTGACTGAGCTACATCCATCTTTGAACGGGCTTCATTCACAGTTTTATTGAATTCCATAAGTTCTTTTTCTTTGACCTATAGAAATGGGTAATATATTACACTCAGAATAATTACAATAATACACTCTTGGGATGACTGAACATGCAAATATATTCTAAACATATTTGAATTAGCAGACAGAGAAAGAAGAGCAGGGGTGATATGCTCATCTCCCAGATAGGAAGAGATACCATAGCAAAGTGAAGTAAAGATGTGGTATGTTTCAATTAAATAAGGCAATTTGAGAATATGGATTTAGAAACAACTTTGTCATTTACTCAACTGGCAAAAAGAAGCTAGAAGCTCTTCCAGAACTAAGCAGAACTGAAGGAGCTGGATATGCAGGATCCAAAAAACAAGAATGTATCAATATTACAAAGCAAAGTCAGCTTCACACAGATTATGTTTTAAGGATTGACAAGTTTTAAACAAAAATGACTACAGTAAATAGCTTGCATTTTGTATAAATTAGGAGTAAAAAACTGAACAAAGTCATCCAAAAAATCTTAAAACATTTTCTGTGGGAAAATGTAGGTTTATTGATGTCTAAAATTTGTGGCAATGTATGAATTTTAAGGCTTTTGCTGATGGTAGAAAGTAAGGCAGTATCCATTCCTATAACACTTTTTTCTTTCTTTCTTTTTTTTATTTTTATTTTTAATATATAGAGATGCACTGACACATTAGTCCCATATCTTGATTTGCACCAATATAAAGAAAATTTTCAGTATCGGCAATCGGCTTTTTTTGGCTGTGTAGCCGATAATGTTGCTGAAAAATGCTGCGTGCAGCAGCAGCACAGCATGCAGGTGGCCAGAAGCGCAGCCCAGCAGTGTAGAGAGCAGCTGGGTCCAGCTGGTAAGTCTGTTGTAACGGAAGTGGGGGGGGGGGGGGGGGGGGG